ACTGTGGGACACGTTATCGCTCTGTGCGTCATCGTATGCCTGTATGTCCGCTCGCCAGGATTGGGAGGTGCGGCCGTGCAACTCTGTGTGCAACGACCGTACAAACAGTGACCAATCATTAACCTCTGTTTAACCTAATCCCCCATCCTGATCATGAGTAGCTCCCTGTGTGTACACTTGATCCGCAATGTACGTCCTGAATAAACGTGCTCCGTGCTACACGTCTGTTTCCTTTATAGCTGGGCTATAGCTTAGCTGGTTCTGGGTGTCTAGCTAGATGTTGGAGAATCTGCCATAGAGATTTCTGAGTCAGTCAGGCTTTACTAAGGTAGCAATCCGCTACACGACTGTATATGAAATTTATTGAATTGTATTAGCTCTCGCAAAACATCAGGGAGCGAAGGAGGAAGTAGTGAATCTTTAGAGCAAGTTCCATTTCTCTTGTAGTTGGCATTTTCATGAAATTGCTATCGGTGGATATGATCACTTTAGAGGGAATAATTGAACGCACTTAGGGCTTTTGTCACGATATTGTTATCTCAGTTACGATGGAGATTGCTGGCATTATCGTATAACCGTATCTGATACGGCGGTGTTTATGGTTCATCGTGGGTTTTAGGTTTGAGATCATGTACTGAGATCATTTAATACGCATTGATGTAGCAATAACCAAAAATTCTAAATTCAATTTTTTTTTCAGTTTTGCGCACCATTTCGCTTTAATCTCAACTTGAAAAATGACTAACCAAAATTTTTTCGTCCTATGAATTTTATGTTTCGTGTTTTAAATCATTTTTTGCATTTCCACGCATGGATTGCATTACCAAGAAAGACAGACAATATTTCAATACTTGATGAGTGGTTTGCTTTCCACAACCTGCAGGAAAACGTGGATTAGTTTGTGAAACGAAGAAATAAGAATATTCGAAAAAACCCTCCCACACTCTTCGAAACCAGATATGTTCATATACCCGAACTCTAGGCAAAGCTTCAACCATGCGAAACGCCATAGAAGAAGATCTTAATGCCAAATAGGTCCTCAAAAGGAAATCGGTTGTGTAGATTTCACACATTAGTTACCCACCTACATAGTAGACTCAACCAAATTATGTCAATGATGCTAGGATTAATATTCAAATTAACTAAACCATTAAAATTTCAATACTTCGATTTTGAACTGCTATTGTGATAGATAGAGTACAGTAGTTTGAATACCATACGATGCTATACAATTAAAAAGATTATTATGCTTCGACATTAATTACGATTAAATTGGTACTACTAATCATCATGAACGAGATAACTAGAAATTGCCGCAAACACTTGCTATCGAATTCTGCACCTAATGACCTAGAGAAACATACTAAGAATCGTTGGTTAGTAATCAAGCAAGAAACCATTTATCCATCAGTTGAATTTATAAAACTATATATGCAGAACAAGAAGTCTTAAAAATTGTCAAGTTTAGATAATGATGTGCAAAAAGTAAATTCGCATAAATTCAATTTTGAGAATGCTTCTTACTGGCTCTGCCATTGAAAGTTCTCCCCAATTTATTTTAAATTAATACATAGAGGCAAATAACTAGCTAAAAGAAGGAATATTTAATCTATCTCAAACATATCGGAAAATTGTTTAAATGTATACTGTTAATTCACGATTATATTGATATTGAAATAAATAATGTCATTTCCTACCTTGATCAAAACAAAGTAATGACGGTCCGTTAAATTCTGATTTTGAATCTTTATTTATTTCTGACTTTTATGCAATTGTAGTAACTACTATTATTAAAACACCAATTAATTTGATTTGGGGGCATATTAATATCTTTCATATTATAACATCCTCTCCACTCTTTTATTTCCCTAAATAAGAAAAAATTATATCATGATTTATTAGTCGCTATTGTTAACACAACTGCAATAACATAAATGTTATTGAAGTAAAAGAATGCTTGTTGAAATGTCAAAGTTTGAAACTTGTCGTATTGTTAACTTCAATGAACAGAATAACGATTAAGTATGATTGTTTGTTTTAATAGGTACTGTCTAAATTAATGACTTTATTAAATGATTTATTTCATAAAAGGGTGCATTTTTACAAGTGGAAAAGGCAAATTAAATAAATTAAACTATAGATTTCTTAATAGTTTAGAAAAATAATCTACTTTTTAGTGGCTGAATCAATTTATCATGTAAGTTCATTTGAAAACGTGAGTTAAGTTAAGAAAATTACCTATGCTAGGAATTCAAAACATTTCCAGGAAATTAAATTATGTCAAGTACTTACCGTTCATTGAGAAATTGATATCTTTAAATTGACAGCAAGCGACAGGCAGTCCTACTTCATCTCCTGTCACATTTTGTCCCTCCGGCAACTTGTAAACCCGGCCCTCTTCGTGCCACAATTTCGAGGTTTTGACGCTCTTGAAATCATCTGCCCCATACACACCGCAACATGCAAACTGTTAGAAATACTTAAGCATTAGATCTGACGCCTTTCAACAAACGGAAAATAGGTTTCTTGTTTATGACTTAATGTATCGTCTCCTATTTTGGTTTAATTTCAAGATGTTCATATTAATACAGAGGTTTTCCAAAAGTCCACCCAGGACGGTTAAGCGGAAAATTCCATTTCACGAAACCATTGATGAAAACAAATAACCGCCCATCCGAATAAGCACCCACGAAAGCTTATTCGGAGAGATGGACTTTAGGGGAAATTTCGGTAGTATGCTTATAAGATCCCTGCATTTAATTGAGCTATTATAGACATTTAACTAAATTCTGCCTTTTTTCAATTCGAGTACATTGTAGCAAGGTAGGAAGTGTTACTGTAACGATTAATTAAAAGACTGCTGATTTGTGCTTAGCCACGTAACGCCGTAGATATAACAGTAGGAAGCAATAATGATGCGTCATGAAGATCTCAAAGCTTTGTCTTAAGATTCAGACAACAGGAAATTTGGCGGAAATTCGCCCAAATGGAACTTAGCTTTATCCAACTAGCTAACAATTTTCAGAGACCTGTCTCGATACAAGTCGTAATAGGAGCACAATCTGGCCAACCAATACCAAAACTGATTAAAAACTTATCTCTAGAAAGTCTTGCATTAGGTGAAGTTTCACCTTAGCAACTTTTGAAACTACGTGAATAATATGGGCCAGGGATTAAACAGTCGATGTTTGAAGTTAGGTTTGAACCCTTCAACCAAATTTGCCTCTATTTCACTTTAAGATAGAGCAACAGTTGACACCCATATCTACTACTCTCAAATTCGGTTACAAATACGCAAGTAAGTGAGAAGCTAAAATATGCTGTATGACCAGCCTTGGCACAATGCAGTTTTGAGATGTGTGTCGCAGAAAGATAAAAAACTCTAGCTGCAAGAAAATGTGTTAAACCGATTTGATTAGCATAATAAAATAATGCAAAATATATAGTTTAATAATTTACATTTAGCATAATGGTATCAGCTGCCTGTGAGTAAGATATCGATTCATTCTGAATACCAAGACCCAAATATCCTTTGTAGTTTGCAGAAAAGCTCTCTTGAACTTTGTCGAATACCATGGGTGAAATCTGCGTTGGAAAAAATGTTTCAAAGTACCTCAGTAGGAAAGGGATGGAAGGGGGGGGGGAGAAGTATTGAGCATTGGATCAAAATTTTTAATCAGATCATGCTCTCTTTACGCTTGTGATAGGGGCGGAAATAATTAGGAGGAGAGTGAACATTGCGCTTACCTTCTCGCCAAGAAGAAGAAATACCAGAATGCAGATCACTTTGGTTAGGAAAAGGAGACTGACCACAACAGCGTACTAAAGTTAAGTGGGAAAACATTTTGTAATGGTTGACATTTTCTTTGATTAATAATTACAGAGATGACAGAAGTGCTATTGTACACGTTTCGCGTGATACATTTTGGTTATTATTATTATTGAAACTATTTATCACCAAAATTTTTACAACTGAAATAGCTTCTCTTAACTATGAGTATATATTTTTAAATGGGGTGTGCGATAGAGTTACCTCCACGTGGTGCACCCTGGGCAACGTATACTCATACGGCAAAAAGGTCTATTAACCGGCAGTTGACTTCTCACTTCACAAAAAAGTCTATTAACCGGCAGTTGACTTCTGACTACTCAAACGGCAAAAAAGTCTATAAACCGGCAGTTGACTTCTGACTGAAAAGGTCTATTAACTGGCAGTTGACTTCTGACTTCAAATAAAAGTCTATCAATCGGCAGTTGACTTCTCACTTCAAACTAAAGTCTATTACCTGGCAGTTGACTTCAAACTACCATGAGTAAGTCTATTAACTGGCAGTTGACTTCTGAGTTCAAACTATCATGACCCCAAGTCTATTAATCGGCAGTTGACTTCTGACTTCAATTACCATGATCTATTAACTGGCAGTTGACTTCTCTATGTCATATTCGAAGTCTATAAACCGGCAGTTGACTTCAAACTATCGGCAAAAAAATTCTATTAACCGGCAGTTGACTTCTGACTTCAACGGCAAAGTCTATTAACTGGTAGTTGACTTCTCCGCATACGGCAAAAAAGTCTATTAACCGGCAGTTTTCTTCTCACTTCAAACTACCATGACCCCCCTATATGTCCTACATTCTCATACGGCAAAAAAGTCTATTAACCGGCATTTGACATGACTTCAAACTACAATCACCCCACTGTATGTCAAATTCGACTTCTCACTTCAAACTACCACGACCCCACTGCATGCCATATTCGACTACTTCCATAGTACTCACCTCACCCATTTTCTACATCTCCTACCTTCGTCTTTGAAACACCCTTCTGTTCCCTCCCCCTCTCGACCTTTTTTCATTTTGATGTTCCTCTTCCTCTGTGAAGTCTGAAGTCAACTAAAGGGCTAATGATAACCTTCAAAACGCCTGTAATTTGACATAAATAAATACTCTTAGAATTCAAAACGCCTGTAATTTGACATAAATAAATATTTTTAAATTAGGTATCCTGACACCTTATGTGCAGGCCTTCAAATCTTAACTGCCAAACACTTTTAGTAATTTGAAGCGTATCCTGAGTAGACTATCAGCACTGCAGATGATGAGACCTTTCGCTAGAGGCGATTTAACTGAACCTACAATGGCATTACTTATGGTATTTCTGAATCTCATGACACTGAAAGGAACCATACTAAGGAACTCACGGTAATGAGGAGACAGCAGCTGTCTGTGACAACTCCACAGCAGCCGAAGAAGGCTACGAGAAAAATGAAGATGCCCAGACCAATGCACAAATATGCGACAGCCTGTGTCAACTTGGCGTTTTGATAGAGTTCGCTCCCACTGACCTCGGCATCGAAGGCAAAAGCCAGAGCCTGCATGAAGGAGGGAATGTTGAATACTGCCCAGGCACCTCCCACCACCAATGCCAATCCAATCAGCTGGAATTGAAAGCGAAAAAACCATTGGTATTTAAAATATCAAAAATTAATTTTAACCTTTATTTACATATAAAGTGCGATAATAATACCGAATCTTAATAACCATTTAAAATTACCGCTTTAATTCAGCAATAAAGTGTTTATATAGGGTTCTTCACATAAGTATGTTTTGGGGTTCTGTCGAAATTTTAAATTCAGACTGAATGACGCATTTTTGGCGTTTTGCTTCAATAAATTCTAGAAAATTCTAATGGGTTTAAAAGGACTGTATAACTCTCATTGACGTGGTAAAGAAAAAAATTTGTACATGATAGTTTTTTTGCGGAGATCTTTGTTATGTTGAACTACTTTTAGCAATCAAGTATTCTCGTGGCTGTGAGAAATTTCAAGAAGTTTCAACAAAATTAAGTGGGCAATACTCCCTGGAAATCTCGAGCAAGAATTCTCTCAGAAACAGAACTTGAACCGGAAACACGGTGTCATTTAAATATATCGCGAGGAAAAGAATTCAGTTTCATCTCAATAATTAAAAATAATAATTTGAGTCAGAAATTTCCTCCATGAAAACAGTTTCAAAGTTACAATTTTGACAAACAAATATTTGATTGTGCGTCTAGACACCCAAATTTCCGACCAATAACACATAATGTGTCGCATGAATATTGCTCTTTGAAATAAACGATAGTAAAGAGGATTTTATGATCATATTTAAATCAGTTTGACAAAATCCGGCTTGAAATTAGATTTCTAACAACCTCTAAGCTGTTTACAATAAGAATATAGCGCATTCATAATTAACTTTAACATTAAATTTGGCCAATACAATGGGTTTTTATCAATCTTTTTATGTGGAAATATGCCAATTACATTTACACCAGCCTTTTATTAAGTTCTTTGTTCAAAAAATCCTATAAACGCAACGATTTAAGCAAGGAATGTAAAATTTGATTTGAAATTTGAAAACAAAATCGTGCAATTTAGACTATATTCCAGATAGGAACGGTTTTGAATTGCATCAAATTGTGATAGGTATGTGGGACACGTTATCGCTCTGTGCGTCATCGTATGCC